TGTTGTGTTTATCATAGAGATATTGTTGAGGATGCTGTGTGCCATCTGGACGGGATGGGTCTAAGAGGTCCCAAGGAAACCATTATTTCTGGTCTTTTTTTCCTGATTAACTGGTTTGTTTTTATCTATTGGACACTAAATCTTCAACGAAATTCAATCTTACCACGACATTGAAACTGCTTGTCAAGTTACAAACAACCTCTGTTTTGGCAAGTCCAGTGGACACTTCTTTGTCTTAATTTTACTCAGTCACGCAGCAGCAACTGATACAGCTGACAACCCCATCCTTCTTGTGCTACTTTCCTCTTCTGGCTTCCATAATACTGTATTCTCTTCCTGCTTCTCCTGATCCTCTGGCTGTTCCTTCTCAGTCCCCACTGCTGTCTCCTCCCTGGCCTGACCAATGATGTTAGAAGACACCAGCACTTGGATCCAGCTCTCAATTCTGAATTGACCTCTGAAATTTCACTTCTGTCGAGAGTCAGCCCCCTTACCCCCGCACCCTTTACTCATTCCCTCTACTTCCTGGTTAGAAGTTCAAAAAGATAGAGCAACACTGTCTGGATTTAAGGGGTGTAGAGAGAATTCCAGGCCTTTGTCATCTTACAAATACAGCTGTGTTCCTCTGCTTTTCTCCTGGAAACTTCCCCGGCCACCAGCATTTGAAGAACAGTGAATTAGGTAGTGGCCTCTCTTAATTGGATATTTGGTAAGTATGTATACTTTTGATGTTTTTAAAGTTTTTGTTTTTAGATGTTGGGGGAAGATTCTGTGATGCAGTTTAAAGCGACACTCTTAATAAGAAATGTGCTGAGGGCTGGCCCCGTGGCCGAGTGGTTAAGTTCGCGCGCTCCGCTGCAAGCGGCCCAGTGTTTCGTTGGTTCGAATCCTGGGCGCGGACATGGCACTGCTCATCAAACCACGCTGAGGCAGCATCCCACATGCCACAACTAGAAGGACCCACAACGAAGAATATACAACTATGTACCGGGGGGCTTTGGGGAGAAAAAGGAAAAAATAAAATCTTTAAAAAAAAAAAAAAAGAAATGTGCT